CCCTCGGGGATGTGCTCGGCAGCGGGCCTGGGAAGCGCTCACCAAAACAATCGCTCGGGCTGCCCTAATGCAACGAGTTTATTTTAGTCCTTGAGCTGTATTGAAAACATTAGCTCTGCTTCTTGTGGTTGTTTACAGAACGTTGGGCTCAACTTCACAGCCGCCCTTCTGGAAAAGTCTTACAGGATTCAGGAGGAGGGAAACCAACACAGAAGTGACTAGGAAAGCGTGACGGCAAACGATTAATCAAACCAGAGACAGGAAGGCGGAGGTAATCAATGAGTTTTCACTTACAGTTTATTTGGATGGACATCTTTTTCTTTTTTCTTTCTATAAGTTTAGAAACCACATGGGGTTTTATTAGCCAGACAAGCAGCTGCAGGTTTTGGTGGGCCGGTGAGAATTCGTTCAAAATCAGCTGCGCGGCACAGCCAGCAAATCCCGTGAGAAATCTCATCAGGTGGGATATTAAAGTGAAGCGCTGGCTCTCCCCGCTCTGCCTTTGGACCCCTGAAGTCCCGGGGGTCCCCAGCTCGGTTTCCCCGGAGGGCGCAGGCAGGCGCCCAGCCGGCTCCGCAGCCTGCCCGGGAGAGGAGCCGCCCCCTGACACCGGCGGAGGCTCCCGGCTTCCCAGCAGGTCCCCGTCAGTGCTACGGGTTTGGTGGCAGAGGAACCGGTCACCTGCCTTCGTTTAGTTGCTTTCTCTCTCTCTCCAACGGGATTCCCCCCCTCACGCCACGTGAATAGCTAATCCGGAGCGATTACGGAGTAACAGGACGGAATATCACATTTCTCGTTTACACCGGCTAATTTCGATTAAATTACAGGGTGTGAATGCCGGCACGGGACCGGCACGGCTCCGGCCCCTGGGAGGGCATTTCGCTAACAGCTTGGCGGGGGCTGAAAAACCCGTGAGGATGCGGTTTGGGCGAGGGTGGGGAAAAGCTCCGTGGTTTCTAGGCTGGCGGGGCAGCTTCGGCCAAGCGGGGCGTGCGAGGATCCGGGCTCTAGAGGCACGTAGCCAGTTCTGCCGCACCGGGCAGTCGGTGCCCTCTTGTTTGAGGTACGGCGCCTCTTTCCCCGTTTTTCCCAGCGAGAACTGTGATTATTTTTCTTACTATCGTTCTGTTCCGTGAAAAACCCAAACAGTCAATAAAGGACAGGGCGAAGCGGAGCACAACACGGGGCGTAACGTCCTAGGCTATCAAAAGGGGGAAGGAACAAAAAGGAGTCACTCGCTGCTCATCTTTTCTCAGGTGTTGCTCTTAACGGGATGTTCAGAAAACAAAATACCAGGCACATGTTGTTGAGGATGTGCTGCGTTCCCTCCGCTCCTTGCTTTAGGAGGCGATAGCGCTTGGCGCTTACCGCCGGCGGCGTCTG